TTTTTGTCTCTCTTTTTCTCTAGCTCTCATTTTCTTTGTCTTTTTTTTCTCTCTCCCTTCCTGTAGAGGGCGGTCACGTGACTCATGGAAGAGCGGGGGGGGGGGGGGTGCGAATGCGGTGCCGCTGTGTGACAGGCCCGTCTGACCCCCCCCCCCCGCCCTGACCCCTTCCCAAGCTACGATTTGCGGGGGGGAGGGGTAAAGGCGTAGTCTGGGGAGGGGGGAGGGGGAGGGGACCAAGAGGGCGCGCGCTATCACATACTTACTAATGACTTCCTGTGTGGCGATGGGGCAGGAAGGAGGGGGGGGGGGGGGGGGGGGAGGGAGGAGAAAAGTGCGACAAGGTGGGAGGCGAAAGAGAGGAAGAAGGGAAGAAGGGAAGGAGACAGAAAGGAAAAGGGAAGAAGGAAGGAGGATGAGGAATGAAGAAGAATGAATGAAGGGAGGAAGGGAATAAGAGAATGAGGGAAGAAAGGAAGGTGAAAGGGAGGGGGCATATTAGAAGGAGGGGAGGGAGAGAGAGGAAGAAGAAGCTGCTCTTGAAGTGGAAAAGGAAAATATACCCTCCCCCCCACCTCCTGCCTTCCCCACCCCCGCCTCCTCCTCCTCCCCATCCTTCTATAACTAAACAGAGTGAGGGAGTGAGTGCGAGAGAGAGATAGGGAGAGAAAGAAAGAGAGAGAGAGAGAGAGAGAGAGAGAGAGAGAGAGTGAGAGAGAGAGAGAGAGAGAGAGAGAGAGAGAGAGAGAGAGAGAGAGAGAGAGAGAGAGAGAGAGAGAGACGTGTGTGTGTGCGTGTGTTTGCACAAACAGAATGACTACCACACGTACAAAGCAAAATCCAATGCTTAAAAAGAAAAAAAAAACGTGACCAACAAAACAAACAAACAAACCGCCTACCTCAATCTCCTGCAGCTGATCCTCAATGACGGCATTTTGTTGCTTAATATTCGATTCCAGTTCCCGGTTTCTCTCCAGGAGCGTCTTGCCAAGTTCGGCTGCAAGTTGCAGATCTGCAAAGAGGGAAAAAAAAAGTTATTTAAGGAATCCTATAAACATCCTTGTAGGCGACTTTCGAAGGAATCGCAGATAAAAATGGATATATTGATAGATATAAAATAATTTTGATTTTCGGGAGGATTATGGATGAAGGGAATGGCGAGGGGGACTAAACGACGTCAAAGACCGTGGTAATGCTGATAACAATGAAAACAAAAACAATGGCAACCACAACAAACACAGCAAATAAAACACCCCAAGAAAGCGTGATTCGAGTGATGTTTCTACTGGGTAACTGGCGAGTGGGCGAGTGGCGAGCCTTTGCTTGTTTGGGAACGTCGCTGGCGCCGTCGGTCGTCATTTGTCATTGTTTGTCGATATTGATCATTACAAGTATTTGGGTTTGATTTCTTTTCTTGTTTTTAAGCATGATTATTTTTATATAATAATTTTCGTGTCTGTTTCCCTTTTTCATTTTCATTTTCTCAATCTGTCTCTCTCTCTCTCTCTCTCTCTCTCTCTCTCTCTCTCTCTCTCTCTCTCTCTCTCTCTCTCTCTCACTTTCTCACTCTCTCACTCTCTCACTCTCTCTCTATCTCTCTATCTCTCTCTCTCTCTCTCTCTCTGCTTGCACCCCCCCCCATCCCCTCTAAATCGCACGCACTTCCGCTCGCTCGTCCTCTCCTCCCGACCGCCATCGACCCCCTCCTAAAAACAAAGAAAAAACAAAGAAAAAAACAGTAGCAATTAAACCACATTTCTCAGCGGACTTCAGAGGAATGCAGGCTTTCCCACGTGCAGGGGGGGGGGGGGGGGGGCAGCGGGTAAATGGAACGCTGGTGGATGCAGGCCACGTTCATAAACGCACACACACACGCGTGAATACATATATACATACGTACATGTACACATATATACGTACATATATACATGTATATCTACACACACGCACACGCCTGTAAAGAATTGTATTTCTTTTCTCTCTTTTTCTTTAAGAAGTTGATCTTTTTCTTTTCTAAGCCCTCCTGAGATATCGTTTATTTCCTTCGCCTCCTGTTGTCGTAAAACAGAAAAGAAAGGGATGAATCGGTTAAAATAGAAAACGGGACACCTCTGTGTGTTTTCCGCCATTGGTGTCTCTTCCAGTGTCTCTCTCTCGATCTCCTGTCTTTCTCTCGCTACTCCGTCCTTTTCAAAAGAAAGAAAAGAGAAGAAAAGAAAAAAAAACACGAACTCATGCACTTTTATCTATCTTTTGTCCTCCGCCACCTCCTTTCTTTATTGTCTTTTTCCTTTTTATTTCTCTCTCTCTTCATTACACGGACGGGAGGCAGCAGACAAGCGATGGCGCTTGGGTGTTGTCTCGGCCGGCGGGTCAGCAGGTCTCCTGGCCGCCGCTGCTGTCGCTCTGCCGTCGGCGCCGGGGCTTTGCTGGCGTTGTCGCCGCGTCCTGCGCTTTCGAGGCTGCTGTGTCCAGAGACGGGGCCTGGCGCCTAGCCCTCTGCTGGCACTTATTTACGGTGCGATCGATGTTGCTATTTCTCCTGCAGGCGCCGTCACAGTCTCCAGCAACGCCGCTGATGGCGCCTGCGCTGCCCGCGCGGGGTCTCCTCCTGCGCTCCTGTCGCCGCTGTTGGCGCTGACGTCTCGGCGGCCGCTGCTCCTGTCCACGCCGCCCGCGCCCGCCCGCAGGTTGCCGGGAAATACGCTTTTCTCGCGGGAACGCAAATTACGCGGAGGTCTTAATTCTCGTCCAATGAATGGGAAAGAAAGAAGAGGCAATTATAAAAAAAAAGTGAGAGAGAGAAAAAGGCCAGCGGCGACATTCGTTTCCAGCGAGAGAACGTTCTCGGAAAATGACTGCCGGACACGCCCTGGCAGTCGGGTGGAAAAAATCTGGTCATGCAAAGAGACGTCACCCCCCCCCCCAATACTAATAACACAACGCACAGATTTTTTTGAGACAAAATCTCAAGACTTCATCATAACCGCCACGATGCATCATTTAAGAATTCGCGCAAATTGCACACATTCACGTACATAATTGCGAAGCCGAGACTCGCGTCCATCTATCAACGAATAATCTAGAATTACAAACACGCATCGCATTGCGCAAGGATGGGGGAGAGGGGGGGTGATTTCGGTTTATCAAAAGCTTAAGCGATTTTTTTTCTTTTATTCTCTTGTTCTGGTTTTCGAATGAAGGAGGAATTAAATAATTGCAATGTGTGTGTGTGTGTGCGTACGTGCGCGCGTGTGTGTGTGTGTGTGTGTGTGTGTGAGAGAGAGAGAGAGAGAGAGAGAGAGAGAGAGAGAGAGAGAGAGAGAGAGAGAGAGAGAGAGAGAGCGAGGAGAGAGAGAGAGAGAGAGAGAGAGAGAGAGAGAGAGAGAGAGAGAGAGAGAGAGAGAGAGAGAGAGAGAGAGAGAGAGAGAGAGAGAGAGAGAGAGAGAGAGAGAGAGAGAGAGAGAGAGAGAGAGAGAGAGAGAGAGAGAGAGAGAGAGAGAGAGCGAGAGAGAGAGAGAGAGCGAGCGAGAGAGAGAGAGAGAGAGAGAGAGAGAGAGAGAGAGAGAGAGAGAGAGAGAGAGAGAGAGAGAGAGACAGAGAGCCTTTCCTCACGCCCGTCTACTTTCCTTGCCATCGCCTCGACTTCAGTTTCACAATTCTTCTTCGCTAACTGCTAATATGACTCAACTGAAAACGGAGCGACTTCATTCCTCCACGTTTTCAGGGGTGACTTGTGTGTTTGGATGAAATTTGGCGCATGTGGGTTTTATGGACATTCCAGCACAGAATAATTGTTGGGGAAAATAGTTTCCCGTTGGTTCAGGTCGGCGATAAATAAATAGGGAAGGAGGAGGAAGAGGAGGTGGTGAAGAAGGAACAGGAGGAGGAGGAGGAGATTTTCGTGTTTCTCTTCTTCTGTCTGTCTGATTGCTTCTTTCACTTCTCCTAAGTACTTATTCTATTCAGGAAATCATTCTCCCTTCTTTAACTTCATCTTATTCAGAAAATCATTAACTTAAATCAAATGCAACAACCTACTCCTTGATAAACGTAAATTTTAAACGTTAACCAATCTAATTCCCTCATTTCAACATGAATAACAACAAGCATTTTTAATACGCTAAAAAAAGAAGAAAAAAAAAAACTATCGAAATATCTTTTTAAATTCTTTAGGAAAATCTTTTAAAATATTCGTCTTGCTCGAGTTCGTTTCGTATTCTTAACAGAACGTCAGACTTAACTTGCACAGATCATTAACATTTCCGGCACTTCAAGATTTGCTTCACAATGAACTCTTGGTTACGTTTCATCCAAAAAAGAGCATTTCTTCTTCGTATTTCTGGTACAGTTATTGTTAACACACACTCTCTCTCTCTCTCTCTCTCTCTCTCTCTCTCTCTCTCTCTCTCTCTCTCTCTCTCTCTCTCTCTCTCTCTCTCTCTCTCTCTCTCTGTAGATAGATAGGAGATATGATATCGAAACAGAGGTATACGGATAGTTGCGTGCGTACGTGTATTTGTGCGAACATTCCCTGCGTGTAGGTGTGCGACCGAGGGTACGCGCGTATGTATACTTACAGTCGGACCACTTTAACCCTTAAGTAAATACACACACACACACACACATACCCCCCCCCCTTCACACACACAAACTCCATACTCGCTAATGATAACAATTTACGACTAAGATAGACTGTATTACGTGTCGACAGCGCGTGCAAGAGTACACATTGGTGATGCTAACGACAACCGGAACACAGAACACCGCTAAATATACTAGACTTTAACAAACAGCGACTGTCGGGGCTAATTTCGAGAGAGGAAGCACGCGCGGGAGGACGGTGTGTACTGCGTGCACGCAACTGCGGTTTGGTTTCATTGCTCACAAAATTCTTTCTCTCTCTCTTTCAAATACATACAATATATATATGTATATATATATATATATATATATATATATATATATATATATATATATATATATATATGTATATATTATACACTCCTAAGATGGAGAAGGAGAAGGAGGAGAAGAAGGAAAAGGAAGAGGAGAAGGAGAAGAAAGAAGAGGAGAAGAAAAAACGAAAAAAAAAAACGGTATGAGTTCCACTGCCTTAATGAAGGGAGTAACTGCTACGAGATAATTAGCAAGTGAATGGAACAGCTACGTCATCCAGGCATTCATTTCGCGTGAATGTGAATAGCTGCTCTCGGGCGCTCGCTCGTGAGGACTCCCCGGCGCGTGCGTGCGTGCGTGCGTATGTTTCTGGTTTGTATATCATGAGAAAGGAATGGGTCGAACGGGTGACTGTGAGCACGATGACAGATAGATAGATAGATAGTCGGAGCAATACTCCGAAACGTTAAAGAGACACAAGCAAATGCACAAACAAGCAAACACACACACACACACACACACATATATCACCCTCACCCTCTCCCCTCCATCCACCCCCAGCCACCTCTCTCTCTCCCTCTAACACACACACACGAGCACGCACACCCAGACCCCACGTGCGAGGGTGCCAGGCATCGGACCTTTAGAGCCCCGAGTGAACACTAATGAAAGCCGCTTCGCACCATACAGCTAACGGACCCTCTGTTAGTGAACGCAAAATGTAACGGTGAAATAACAACAGCCTACGCACGCGACATCGGGAATGAGAGCGAAGGGAAGCGCCCTATAGGCCTATAGTTTTTTTTCTTAAATCGTATTAGTAGCGCATTTTTGATTACATAAAACATGGACTTGTTGGGAGAATAGTAGTGCGGTGTTTTTACGTGTGACTGAATGTTATATTATATGGGAAAATGGGATATGGGATATGGGAGGGGGGGGGAGGGGGGGGGAAGGTAGAGGCGGAAGAGGGGGGGAGGGGGGAGGAGGGGAAGGGAGGAGGAGGGGAAGGGAGGAGGAGGAGGAGGAGGGGAAGGGAGGAGGAGCAGGAGGAGGGGAAGGGAGGAGGAGGAGGAGGAGGGGAAGGGAGGAGGAGGAGGAGGAGGAGGAGGAGGAGGAGGAGGAGGAGGAGGAGGAGAAGAAGGAGGAGAAGGAGGAGAAGAAGAAGGAGGAGGAGAAGGAGGAGGAGGAGGAGGGGGAAGAGAAGGAAGAGGAATTGTAGTAATAGTAGTATTAGTATCAGTAGTAAAAGGAGGAAGAAGAGGAGGGGGGGATGGAGGAGGAGGAGGAGGAGGAGGAAGAGGAGGGGATGAAGAAGGTAAAGGAGGAGGAACAGGAGGAGAAAAAAGGGAAAGGGGGAAAAGGAGGAGGAGAAGGAAGAAAAGAGGAGGAGGACAAAAACAGCAAAGCTCCCCCCCCCCAGCGACACATGACTCATCAATTTCCCTCGCGGTCCCGAT